AATTTTTTTTTAATCTTTTATTCGCATATTAGGTAGAGCAAAGAGGGACATACTAGTTATAAAACTGAACTATTCTGGTGTTTTTAGAGGGAAAATAACAGAAACTCTGTCTGGACCTGGAGCACTGTAGGAGGCTGACCACTGCTGCTGGAGGCCGGGGCTCCTGGGGCAATGGCAGGAAGCAGGTGTAGAATTTCCCACGGAAAATTCTAGGGCCTCCACTCAGGTGCCAGAGAATCCTCTACATTGATCACCAGAGAAGCTCTCCAAAGGGAAAAGGGCATGTAACTGTCCCAAGGAAGGTACATGGGAGGTGGGAGATCAGTAGAGCCATCCCAGAGAGGGCCTGTCCTCACATCTCTACCCTAGGATCCTGTGTAGGTCTTCTCTAGAAGTACAAAACAAGGGCTCACTCCTTGGTCTCTTGTTGACCTTACAGATAGTCCCATACCAATCCTGCAAGCTTAGCATCAGGTAGAAAATTCTTTTTCAAGCTCCTCTGGTTAAGACCCTGGCAACTGCTCTTGGACACTGTCTGAATCTTCTCTTGGAGGGACACTTCATATTTAACTGCTTTTTGTTTCCCAACAGAGGTCCAGACTTCCCAGTACTCCATGGTCTAACTAAATGGCCTGAGGACTTTCCTGGTTCCTGTTTTCTTTTCCCTTCATTGGATGCCTGGGTGCGCTCAAGCTTCCAGTTCTACTGACGCCTCCTCCAATTTTCACTCCCGAGCTGCATCCTGGGATTCTTTTCACTGCTGCTCCAAGGTTTATTCCAAAGTGGGGCCAAGAACTGACACTTATCTGTTCTAATGAGATCCAAGAGTCTGGAGGTGCCAAAGGGCAGGTCTGCCAAGTATAGAAAACCACTCAGTCTGCTTCACTCAACACACACTGTCAATACACCATCAAAGGTTCAAGGACAACAGATTAAACAGCATGGTGCAGACACAACTTCACTCAGAATGCTTCACATCACCATTATTAAAGGTTCTTATCTTTCTTCTATGCCTTCCTTTGGTTGTGATTCTAAAGCCTTTTTCCACCCCCTGTTCTAAACCCTTCTCTTCTCTGTTTCTACCCCATCAGCCTTCTGCCAAAGAAGACATTTCTCATATTTCTGTTACTGTACTCTGCAAAGGGAGTCTAAACCCTTTGCTTTCTTTCAAGATATTGACTAGAGATTTCAACCTTTCACAACTAACAACACCCCCAAGCCCCGAAGATGGACTCTAAACAAAAGTTCATGTTCTTTGTTTTTCCTTTGTTTTTTTCTTCTCTGCCAGAAATTCTTCATCCTCCTAGGTTATCTGGCAAGAGTTGCAGTCCATCCCTAAAACAATAATTTTTCCTCCCAGTTACAACAACATCAGAAATTCTAGTCAAATTGTTGTGCTCTTCAAAGAAGCACAGTGAGCGATCACTTACTTTCTGAAATGCTATGATCATCACTCAAGAGTCTGAATTGTCTTCTAAACAATTTACTAATTCCTCAAGAAAAATGGCTTATCAATGTGTCTCAAATTGTAGGGATTTGTTTGTTTTCGCTTTCTGGTAGGGTTTTGCTACACAGCCCGGGCTAGCCTAGAAGGTGTGACCTTCTGTCTCAGCCTCCTACCTGAATGCTGGAATTATAGGTATGTACCACTACATTTCCTTTTATTCTAGGTTCCTTTGCTTCTACTTTGACTCTACATTTACATACATTTACCTCTACCTTGATTCCTATATCCATCCAACCAACCAAACATGGTGTGGGAAACACAGTCCTAGCACTGAAGGTACTTTCAAGACAAAAGGGGCGTCCTAGTGCTACCTATGAACCAAGAGATGGGATTAGGGGTTCTGCATAGTTAGAGTAAGTTTTGAAGCCAGGAATTTTATCAAGCTGACATTAGCTCACATAGATACTTTGGTCTTAAGGAAACAGCAGTCTAGGGATTATCATCCTGCTGCAGTTCACAGAGATACACAGCACATTTCTGTAAGCAGGCTAATAATGCTGATATACTTCCTTCTTCCTAGAAATACTGTATGTAGTTGATGGGATGCTTAAAATTGAACTGTCCTACATTTTAACTGCTTTTCATTCATTCATTTATTCAAGCAACAAATATTTACTAGGGGTCAGGGGAGAAGGGCAGCTGCATGTACTGAGTATCTCATTCATTCATAATTATGTTCTAGGCATTGGGCTGTTACCATTTGAATAAATAAAAGTTAAGAACAGTCTGCTTTCTTATTATCATAGCAACAGACAGTTATAATGATTGATTGTTTTTTCTTTAGAAACAAGGTTTCACTATGGAGCTCAGGCTGGCCTGGGCCTTACTAGGTAGCCTACTACAGTGGTCTTCAAGTAATGATTCTACTGCCTCTGCTTCCCAAGTGCTAGGAATGCAAGCCTGCACCATGTCCAGCATAAGGAGAGTTTTTACTGGTTTCCTTTTCTCCCTTTTTATTCAAATGTGAGTTTTCAATCATCAGTAAAAACCCATTATATCTAGTATATTACTCTGGAGGGGAGTCAAGCATATAATGTATTTTAGGAGGAAAAATAATCTACTAAAGTAATTATGTTTAGCCTCTGCCTCTGAAGACTCCATCTCTAGTTAGAGAAAACTCAAAACAAGAAGACACTCCTGTCCTCCCAAGGATTCTCAAGGAATCCTAGAGCTTTCTTTGGCACACTCCTTCCTGTCTCCCAGTACAGCACTTTGAACTGCACCTGATTTTCTTCTCTGCATCTTCAAAGTGCAATGACCCTGGGTCATATTCCTTCCAGTGTCCAACTGTAAACTGGGCTAATCTCATACACTCAAGTGAGCACAAGCAATAGCGACAACAGCCGTGGCTATCCTCAGGGATCTATGCAAAATGGTAGTAATTTTAGAGAGATACAACTGTAACCAGATGGGACTCTTTTTCCTATGCAAGGTCATTGTCCAACTAAATATCAAACAAAGTGGAAAAGAAAGAAAGAAAGAAAGAAAGAAAGAAAGAAAGAAAGAAAGAAAGAAAATGGACCTACTATATAGTGCAGTGGGTGAAAGTGCTTGCCACTCAAGCCAGATGACCTGCATTCCATCCCTAGAACCCACGGTGGAAAGAGAGAACCAGCTCCCTAAAGTTGTCCTCTGACCTCTGTATTGCACCGTGTTCTTCTACTATGCAAACTTCTACAAATGTTCGTGCTATCTAATTTTAAGGTAAATAAAAGAAAGGCAAAAGACAGACATAGTAAGAGTATACTTTGATTCCATATACAGCAGTTTGAAAAGAAAGTGGGGCAGAGGCTTAGGAAGCTAGGCACAAGGAAGAGATTGTGGGGCCAGCAATGTCAGTCAGAGAAAGAAAGGGAAAGACAGGTGTATCTGAGAGGAACAATGAGCTAAAGTCTGGACTCTTTCGGGTCCTTACCCAGCACAGCCCGAATGTATGACTCCCAGGCAGTCTTGTTTTGTAGCCTCTTCCAGCCAGCCAGCCAAAACACTCCCCCATCTAATCTGCCCAGGGCACTGTGGGCTGCTATTTCCACAGATCCTTGGAGCCCTGACCTTATCTCAGTTGAATCACTGTAATTAGTTTTCCCTCTACTTGTTTGTGAATAAAGCTAAAAGCAATTCGCTTGAGAAATCTGCATATCTCCTGTCTCTGAAAATCAACTGAAAGCAAATACTCACTTGGTACCACCATATATCCCTGTAGAAAACATGCAAGAAGTGGTAGGATGCCTGCCACTTAACAGTGAATACCTAGACCCGCCTATGCTCATGTTTCCACTCAATACCACTCACTATTCTAAGAGATATAATAAATAATAATAATAATAAAATGCTATACATATTTACAACTCACATTTCTAAGTGTTTAATTATTTAGATAAATTTGATTATACTGCTTTCAAAATGAGAAAAAAGCATACTATCTCATTAGCATTTAACAAACTTCTCAAATCACTGGTATAATACTTTAATGAGAAGAACTGGCCTGGCCTATGTTTGAATTCCATTTTCTGCTCTTAGTAACTGTGTAACTTTGGGAAAATTACTTTAAAATTCTGAATCTTGGGTTCTTCTATAGAACAGAATGAACAAGGCCAGGGAGATGACTCAGTGAGTAAAGGTTTTCGTGTGCAGACCTGAAGATCTGAGTTTGATCCCTGAATCCACAAGGTGGCAGGAGAGAACTTGACCTTTGACCGCCACACACAAAACTTAAAATGGGATGAATAATGTGGTATTCACCATAAAGATAGTTTTAAGAACTAAGTGAGTTGTGTGTTTGAAACTGAACCTAGCACACAGTAACAAGTGCTACGGACTGCTAGCAAGCAGTCATCAACCCCCCTGCACAAGGCTCAACCACAGCAGGCCCCTTTGCTTCTACTTGTTAATTTTTTTTAATTTTAATTTTTTAATTTTATGTGTATGTGTGTATTTTCTGCATGTAGGTAAGTGCACCCGTGTTGTGCAATGCCCCAGGAGGTCAGAAGAAGCTGTCGGATCCCCTGTGACTGAAGTTATGGAGAGTTGTTAGCTGCCATGTGGGTGCTGGGATTTGAACCCAGGTCTTCTGCAAGAACAACCAGTGTTCTTAACCGCTGAGCCATCTCTCCAGCCCCTCTACTTTTTTTTTTTTTTTTTTTTTAATGTGTATGAGTATATTGTCTGCATGTAGGTGGGTGCAACTATGTTGTGCAATGCCCATGGAGGTCAGAAGAGGGCTTCGGATCCCCTGGAACTAGAGTTACTGATGGTTGTTAGCCACCATGTGAGTGCTGGGAATCAAACCTAGGTCTTCTGCAAGAGCAGCCAGTACTCCTAATCACTGAGTCATCTCTCCAGCCCCTGCTCTACTTTTTTAGTAAGCCTGATTAGAAAGGTTTTATGAAAGTCTGTCTGTTGGTATCATATATGGACATCAATAATTTAAAAAGCGAAATGCAGACACTTAGAGAACAGAAACAGAATGGAAATCCTTTCACAGCTCATTCACCTCAAAGTCTATGAGTTGCAGGTCGGCAATCAGTGTCACCAGCAGCCCACTATTGTAGAGTTCTTGTGCCAGCTGGGCCACTGCCTCAGTTGGGGGCTCCTTGTCATTTGCACCACACAGAATTTCTTTCATTGCTTGCAGCGATTTTGATACTTCTTCTGAAGCCTAGTGACCAAAAAGTATGTTCATCATTAAAAAGAATTTCAGCCCATAAGTAATCAAACAAAAACCCCCACTTCTTAGGAGGCCCTGCTTACTTAAAGTCAAAGATTATTGTATAGTTACAAATAAATGAAAGCAACAACAACAAAAACAAAAATATTAGGTGTTGCTTTTTATCTTAGAGAATACTAATACATATAAAAAGATCTCTAATACTTCTTCTTAGTAAACGTAATAGAAGGAATTTTCCCTCAAAACACATGCATAGCTTAATTGCATAGTAACTAAAAGAAAGTATACTCTTGAAAATTAAGCTGAGCCTGTTTTGAAGACTTATCAAGAACTACAAGTCTTTATTAAGCCCTATGCTAAATTCTTTTTAATGAACCACTACTCTTTTGATCTTTTAATGGTCCAGGTATAAAACCCTAAGTTGTCAGAACTTACAAGTGCTGTCAGTCCACTTATTCTTCATACACAGCCGTCATTTTTGATATTTGTAAAATGTAAAATAATTCACTATAGTTGAAGAATAAGGGGCAAATCTACAGAAGTGAAAAGTAGATCAGTACCTGTCAAGGCTTAGGGGGTTGGGTGCAAGGAAAAACTGCTAATAGGTGCAAGGTTTCTTCAGGGGCTGATGGAAATGGTCTAGAATTAGACAGTGGTGATAGCTGCACATATAGCTTTGTGAATTATAAAACCACTGAACTGAGAAATTACATAATTGAGAATTATATCTCAAAAAAATCTCATTAAATTAATACTGGTGATGAAACACTAATCAGGTTAACAATTTGGCTTTCTGACTATTTTTAAAGAAGGATGGTTTTATGACTTTCAATTACAGTATCACAGTCATCAAAAATGAAGAAAATGAGGCAAATTATATAAAAACAACTTATATCAGCATGGTACTACTTTTTTTAAAAGGCATTTTCAGATGCTTTAATTTATTAAGGGCTTAAGGCTAATTATAAAGGGGCTGGAGAGATGGTTCAGCAGTTAAGAGCACTGGCTGCTCTTGAAGGGGACCCAGGTTTGGTTCCTAGCACTCACATGGTAGCTAACAACCATCTGTAACCCCAGTTTCAGGGGATATGATGCCCTATTCTGACCTCCACGGGCACTGCATGAGACAGGTGAACTTACATACATGCAGGCAATACACTCATACACATAAGATAAAAATAAATAAAATATAAATAAAAAGAATAATTGTAAAGAAAATCCCTCTGTAAGGGTCAAGAGGCAGAACATTTCCAGCATCTGAAAACTCCCTTTAACTTTTATGTCTTTCATTACATGGCTATAATTTGGATCTTTGTGCCCAAAGGCCCATGTGTTAAAGGCTCCATGCCCCGCGTGGCACTATTGGGAGGTCTCTCCTAGTCACTGGGGGTGCACCTTTGAATGAGACTATGGAATGGACTAGAGTCTCTTCTCTTTTTCTTTCCCATTCTAGCCACAAGTATTTCACATGTCCCAGCATGATGTGCTGTCTCTACCAGAGGCCACAAAGCTGCAAGACCAACCCACCACAGACTGAAGCTTCTGAAACTCTGAGCCAAAATAAACATTTCTTTCTTATGAGCTGATCATCTCAGGTACTTTGTTACAGGGTCAGACCATGTCCACAGTAATGACTGCTTTACTTTTCTCTAGTGTTCTTACCTATGTGTGCTACTCAAATCACATAGTTGTAGCTCCTCTGATTTTGAACTATGTCATAAAACAGACCTGTACTCTTTCATGGTCTGCTTCCTGACTCAGCATCTCACTGGTGGGATTCATCTCTGCTGCTGCATGTGGGCCACAATTCACGTACTGCCATCATTTCTACTACTCCGAAACTCATGGCTGTGCCAGCGACTAAGTCTTTCTTGGTCTTAGTGTTTGTGGATTTAGGGGTTGTTCTCATTGAGAAGTTATGGACTACAATGCTGTGTGCATTCTCACACATTTCTCCTAGTGCAAATGTTCAAGAATATCTCTGATACCTAGTACGAACCCGTAGCCTCTTAGCACATACACCGCTTTCTGTTTAACAGATGTTACTAAACATGCTTCCAAAGCAGCTATAGCAACAGACACTTTTTATCACTCAAAGTGAGCAGAGTTACCATTGCTCTTCATCCTCGTCAACACTTAATAGTTTTGTCAAGATACTAGGTATATAATGTGAATTTCCTGCAAGTTTAATTGTCCTTTTCTTGATTTTTAAAAATATTTTATTTATTAGTTTTATTTTTTGTGTATGAGCGTATTGTCTGCATGCATGTAAGTGTCGTGAAATGCTTGAGAAGGTCAGAAGAGGGTGTCAGATTCCCCTAGAACTGAAATTCTGAATGGTTGTTAGCCACCATGTGAGTGTTGGGAATTGAACTCGGGTTCTTTGCAAGAGCAGCCAGTTCTTTTGACCACTGAGCCATCTCTCTTGTCCTGGTCTTTTCTTGATTATGAGTGAAAGGAAATTCTTGCTTTCTGTTGTTTGCCATTTAGTTACATATGCTCATGAAGACCATTTTGTTGTTGTTTCTATTTGAACCAACATTTAACTAGATATTACAAAGAATACTAGAATTAAAATAAGATGTTTCTCAACTCCTTAGAGAGTTTAAGATTATATTATGTACTGGGACAGAAAAAAACTATGATCCTAAAGTCACTTGCTTTATAACAGGTATCTTGAATCTTGACATAACCCAGTCATTTCAGAGAGAAAGCAAACAAGTAGGATTTAACATGTCTTTAAAAGAAGGACTAAACTCCCAAAGACCCTATCTATAAGAAGGTCTTGTTTGTCAGACTTTAAAACAATGTGAAATGAGCTTGCACTTTAACAGAAACCTTCAATCTTTAAATAAAAGATTCTTTTTTACATGTTGCTGTAAATGATACACTATTGTAACCCCTGAGATCTTGCTCTGCAGTCTACAGTGCAGGCCCCCGACCACAGGGAGGCTAAAGACTGTAGACAGCAAGCTAAGTATTCCCTGCAGCAGACTGAACAATTACTAGTGGCTTAAAACCTACAAACACCTTACATGTATTTCTAGAGACAAGTATACACATAACACAAACCATATCTACAATTATTCACGAAGCTTTTACACTTGTTTTTGGTCTTGAAATACATGTATTTTAAAAACATTTTTGCTTTGGCTCATACCTTGTCTGTCTTTTTGTCTTGCTTTTCCAAAATGGCCAGGTTGTCTTTTAGAATTTTCACAATTTCTGCGGGATTTTTGTGTGATTTACTAAACAAAGGCATTCTTTTCATGTATAAAAATCTCTTCTTCCAATATGGAATGCTAAAAAGCAAACAAATAACCAGAAAAAACATGATAAGTTTTAACTTTTTGTCAGTATTTTGACTTATTTTTATGTTTATAGAACACAATTCCAATTAGTTTAATAAAATCATCCAATATTTAGACAATTCAAGAGCTTATATTCAGCCAGCATTTACCTGTATGGCAATATTTCTGCAGGCTCTACTGTTTTTTGCTTTATATCTTTTGTTGAATTTTTGTGGATTTTATACAATATACTTTAATCATATTTAGATCTCCTCTATCTGCACACCCCCAATAGCCCACCCACACATTCTGTCTTATATATTAAAGCATAACTTTTTTTTTTTTCTGTCTTTTTGAGACAGGGTCTCCCTGTAGCCCTAGCTGGCCTGGATTTGCTATGGAGACCTCGAACTCACAGATATCCGCCTGCCTCTGCCTCCTGAGTGCTGGGATTAAAGGCGTGTGCCACCATACCCGGCCTAAAGCATAACTTTTAACTCTTAACATGCTTTAATTGTTATATCTAGATGTATGAAAAGCTTTCAATAACATCAGTTCAATAATTTGAAACATTAAAAGTGATCAAACTGAGTTTCAGGTTTGATGTCAAATTTAAATTTAAATTTAAATAATAAATAACTAAAAAAGGTAAAACAAAGTGGGATTAGGATTCAGATATTATTATGAAGCAGTATTTTAAAGTGTTCTAATAAGTACTGATGGCAATCACAAAATTGCAGTGTAAAATTAGAACCTGTCCTTATTTTGTCTTCAAATATTCATGATGAACAAGTGTCTTGTATCCTCACTGTCACAGAGGAGGGTGAGGGGGTTGGCAGAGCTTCAACTGCAGTTGCTGAGAACACTTATTACACTGACTAGAGAAATGACTACCACTACTTGACCATAATGGAAAGTTCTGACCAGCAAAAGAATATTTATTAATTTATACCTATTAATAAAAACATTTCAGACATTAAAAAAATAAGATACAGTAAGTCCAAAGTCTCTATGGCCCAAGCACCCAGAGATGACAGCCATCACCAGGCATACATTCCCTTTTTATTTTTTCTACACATTCAAAGATAAATATATGTTTTAAGCAAAACTAGAATAATACTAAACAAAATACTTGGTCACTACTCTCAGTTTTTTCATACACTAAGTATTCTGTGGGCAGGCTGAGGTCTACTAAAATATTTTA